AGCGAAATCGCCTGGGTCTAAAAGTACGAAATCCAAGTAGAGTTATATCCAATTAACCACCTCACCCCCATTCCCATACCAATTGTCCCAGCACCCTTGGACGAGCACATGTGAACTGAATCTGTGAACGAACCCAAGAAGAAAAATCCATTAAGGGGTCCAAGACTGAACAAGCGAGGACGAAAAAAATCCGGGTTCATCATAAAGACGGATCGCCCCCTAACCAATCAATCGTAAACCTTAGTCATCCCCACGTATCAACAAACAGGAAAATCAGACTGAACATCAGACTGAACCAGCACTGATCACGTCACCAGTATTACGGAATCGCACGGATTTGTTCCCCGACTGCCATGAAAGCCAATCAACCTACATACTTACTCACTCGGCCTGACGAAGCTTTTGCGTCAAAAGCAAAACGTTGCCCAAAAATAAATCAACCGATTGTTTACCAAACCCCTCTGAATCTAGATTTCCTCCTTGGCGCCTCGTCATTCTGTTATAAAACTTTTAGCTCTCACATACTTTCCGTCTTTCAGACTGCGTAATTCACTTTGGTGAGCTTTGCTTGACTCGACGTTTTTTGACTCCAGCTATGCAGAACCCATCATTTTCTTCCAAAGAGTGATTGCTTAAAGCACCTGAAAGTTATTATCACAGTCTGTTTGGTCACATGCGTATTTCTCAAGTTTAACTTTCCTCGATCTGCCTTCGCACCCGAGTAATAAAACAAGACGTGTTCGTCAAAAGTACTCCCATAAAATATCCTTCCCAACCAATATTTCTATAGATATTTTGTGCTCCAGATTATTTAATATTGAAAAGTTCTCCGAACGACAGATGCTTATAAATTATATCGTTTCCCCGCAGTCGTGATCATACAGTGGATTGTTGCATTTGAAATCGATGTTTCTATTATTAGAGGATAATACTTTTACGAACAGATATCATCATAAAATGGTTGGAACAGTTTATCATGTCCATTTTGATTTTCGTTTTCGCGCTAGATCCTAGGATTTCTGTGTTGTCTGATTTTGGTCCCATACATACTTCCTCAGAAATGGGTAGGAACTTCTTCCGAGTATATTCATTATCAACAAAGCTCTGATGAATAAGGTTAGATATCTTATCCTTTTGTCAAGATGCGTGAGAGTTTCAGAAACGTTTGTCTTTTTTTCTAAAGAAATTATACCGAACAAGGTTTTGAGCGTATTTTAAGGAAGAGTTCTTGAAGACGGGAACTCTGGAAGAATGTGGAGCACGTTTCTCAAGAACTTTCCAATCCCGCGAACTTGAGGCTCAGCATTTAGACAGATGTTAAGGAAAAGGCGTCAAACACAAAAAATGTTAAACACGCACAAGTTTGCAGCGGCTTTTGGTTTATTTTTTAAGCTCTGCCTCCCAAAGTTTCATTATTCAACAATCACTTGCTCCGATCTTAGATATTTGCTCCGTAATACTATACATTTCGGACACCTAAGACGTTCCAAGGCCAGGTCAGACGAAATACTTACGGAAAGAACCGGTTGACCAGGATGGGGGTAATCTTTCAATCTTTCAATTTTAAGGATTATTCCAGAAGAATTATTCCAAAAGTTTGCTTCAGTCTTGTGAATCACCCCGAGACAGACCGATTGCTCAAACGTACGTACTGTTTATCTGTGGCCTTTAAAATCAATTCCGTTGTTAGCATTTCGCGCTGGTAACATGGATGAGTAAATTGGCTTCCAGCATGGAATATGCTTGAATATGACGATGAAGCACACAAACCTTAGAATTTCTGGTTCATCATTAATTTTCTTAGGAGTCATCATCATCATCATCACCATCAGTACCATCATGGACAGCATGAAATTAGTGTTCAATAATGATGCTTCGCTGTCTATGTTAGGTCTACCCGCTACAATTCGATACTTGCATTGCACAAAGTTGCCGGATATAAACAGAGTGATGAAGCACAACACACGTTTGTCCAAAATTCAGTTAAATGAAAATGACATCATAATCATTCTGGAGCACACCCACGAGAATGATTGGCCTCGAAGAGTCCGGAATAGCGGCCTCAAAGACATGAATTGGGCACATTCTATAAGCTTTCCAGATTGCTGAAAGACCGAATCCAGTCGCAGGCGTACTATGATGTCATGTACTCGTTTGTTAGGCACCAGCTGCGCACCAAATCAGAGAATCCCATCAACCAAGCGGATACTGGCTTTCACAAATGTGACGTCATTTTACTTTGTTTATTGTATTACTCTTCAAATCACACTTAGTTCGGAGTCATGTGTAAATTTTATCAGTTAAGTTTGGACAGTGATCAAATAAGTTATCCGCATAGCAAGCTGACCTAATTCGTTCACAAATTTACAGGATATGAGCAACTTATAAGTATCAGCTGGCCCGAAAAAATAGCATTGCCATGTCAAGTATGGCCGGCGGAAATTTATCTACCAAACTTTCCGAAATACTGTACTATATTCATTCAATAGCCACGAAAATGAAGTTGACAGTAATCAACTCAGCTAAATCCCTATGGTTGATTATCAAAAATATGAATATGATCTGCTTGCTCTTCTAAAATTTGCCGTTATTTTTCTCCGCGAGACTTCAAATTGTCAAGTGAGCTTTAATGAGCAACACTTTAATCGGGTAACCTCAGATAGTCAAAAAATAGTGTCTTTTGAATCAAAGCAAGTTTTCAAGTCATTGCCGCAGAATAAGCGAATGTAATATCAATATTCGGTCACCTGGAACCGCGACGTTATTCTTGTTTACTCTTCAATGCCCCTAATCCAACCGTATGGATGAATCAACAAGTAAGAATTCTGGTGGTTACTGGAGAGCATGTGTTGTCTTTAAGTTACTTCCAGATGGAAATTACATAAGGCAACTGGCACGTTGTTTAAAGCCAAAAGTACAACGACAGACCACATGAAATTCAAATGATGAACGTTTCACATAGAAATTAATGGTAAGCCATATAGAGATGAGTAAAATTTAATAGTACTGTTCCATAGAAGCATATGAGAAATTTGCAGTTGGTTTTGCAAAAGAAATAGGTCAGTAAGATGATAAAATAAAACGTGCCACCCAACGTTGCACATGAGTGGAACAGGCAATATTAAAGTAACCTTCAAAAAGATGCAAAGTTGCAAATTTCAAAAGAACAACTTGGACTTATGGATGCCCTATTCTTAAAAAGATGAATGGGGTCTAGTTCTTCGCTATGTGCCTAATGGGGCATGTATGGGTAACAAGCTGAACCCTCCCACAGTTCAGCGATTAAAACCACCCAAATAGAGCTTTAATCGGTAAAGCGATGTTTATTTGAACAAAATGAGGTTGAGAGCTCAAACATTTTCGTCAAAAAAACATAAACCTCGGCTTAGCAAGTTACAAAGAACCAATGCAAACTCTTTGTTAGATGAGTAAATGCTAGCTTCTAATATGGGCGTTCACAATAGACCATCGGAAAAACGGGTATTTCTGTTCCAACCAATGTATCCGTGTGAACTGTTGTTACATCCGCTACCATAAAATTTAACACGGTTGTTAATAATTAGGAGAGTTTGATTGAAATTCTTTCGACTAGTCCTCTGCTTGATTCACATACGCTCCATTCTGAATAATGGTATTGTGATTAAAAAGGCATGAAATATATTACCCCGGTATCAAAATATTTTGCTATCGTCTTTTTTAAATTTCCCTTCAAAAAATAGTATTCCATACGATGCACATGGGATTTCCTGAACTTATGAATTTTCAACAGTTTCTTTCACTCATGAAAGGCTTTCGTTAACCAGTTGGGGGCGCAACTTGCCATATTGCTATTGAGCTCAGACTTTTGATTACCTTGCACGTTTGGAAGAATAGTCTAACGCATATATCTTGCATGCATCTTACAGGCAAGGGATTGGCTATTTGGATCAATAATAAGCTTCAACATGCTAGGCCATGATAAGGGCGCTGAGTCTCGATGGTGCACTATTCGCAAGAACAGAAGTCTATGGTGCTTTCCAGTTGACTTTGGATGTTCCATTGCCCTCGACTGTGTAATCCGTTATGTTGTGTTTTATACACAAGAATTAACAAGGGGATCTCCTACACTGGGTATAAAAATTCTGGGGGAGGTCATTGTTAAACTGGTCTGCTAATTCAAATGGCACCGAGAACTGGGAACAGAGATGATAATTTGCGTGTCATAGAAGAGCGAGCTGTCGGCATAAATTCCCACCATGGAGATCTGTGTGAGTTGGGCACCCAGTTCTTAGACCAACAGGTGATTCTATTCGGTAGCGGTGATAACTGCAACCGTGTATTCTCTGGCTGAAATAACTCAATATGCTGAAGACGCACTATGGGTCAATGTGAACATATTTTCCTGTCTTCAGTCCACAGGTCTGTGATTGGCTCCACGGTCGCTGGGATATCAAACAATACTGAGCTTACTGGAAATGATCATCTGTCAGATTCGAACGATTCAGACATCATACAGCAAACAGTGGATATTTAAAAAGGACTTCCTCACTTTGGTTACGCGTCCTTTGAGGGTAGACGCTTAGCATTCGTACAGCCAACTGAGGTTTACAGGAATGATGTGACGATGATGAAACTTAACGTCTATTATGACCAATGGATTCTGAAAGAGTTCTCATCCATCAAAATCAGTCTTATTTGATTCATGCTCTCACCATTGCTGTCTTAGAATGAATGTTTAGACATATTTTTCCCACGGGCAAATAAATGAACACTAGTGAAAGTAACGTACCGTTGGTGTCACCTAATATCATTATCAAATACATTCCTCGGAATATGAGTGAGCTAGTTCTAAAACCTATGGAAACATCATATAGGATTTCCTACATAGATGACGTTGGTCACAACATGTAACTAATATTAAGGGCTACAAATTTGAACGAAAGTCCCATCATCATATACTCAAAAACATATTTCACGGCATGAAATATATCCTCGCCCAGTACGTAACAATCCAAACTTACCGCAGCATTCCAGCCTGTAGACAAGAATTATTTTGTTGTCTTGCGCAGGCACAGTGGACACGCCAACTTCACCGAGTGTGCAGCTCTGTGTAAACCAATGAAATGTGGAGGTGGAAACGGTCAGAACATAAGCAACGAGATCAACTGAAATTGAAATGGAACACAGTGAATAGTACACGCATTCTGAAGGCATTCAAATTTCGACAAATATTTGGGGTGGGAAAGTACGAACAAACTCTTCAGTAAAACGCGCAATGTTCTCTCCCATACAGCAGCTTCGGGAGTTATTATTCAGTCGCTCACAGGGGACCATGTCACCAGTTTCACGGTGACACAACCTACTGGACGCTAAGTATATGAATACAAAACCTGAATTATTTCAGCGAAGTAGCCACAAGCTCTTGGTATAAAGCTGATTGACATAAGCCTGAGTTACCGAATCGCACATAGGTCAAAACAGATAATGTTTGGGAAGGTTTTCGAAGAAATTTGCAAACTGTATTTTGCTGCCTCAAGTTCTGTAACATCTTAGGATGGATTATTTCTGCGACAACTCCCTGAAGAACAATAAGGTGAAACGTTTCATCTGTTCTGCTGTGTGACGTTTTAAAAATATGTGGATAAAATAGTGGAAAGATATTAAAAATGGTAATCGGTGTTCACTTAAATTTTACTGTAATGAATCTGAAAAGATTTATGAATTGGTAGTCCATATGGTAGATATGGTTTCAGTCTTCAGTTAGCACATTGTAAATATTTCCGGGTGTTCTTCGGCCGAAATGTGCGGAATACCAAGATTTTACTCGTGGTGTGTCTAGCTATCTTTTATGAGCCTATACGCATAGGCTTATAAACTCATGCTGTTCAGCGCCACGCTCTCACTACCTGATAGCTGTTTTTCTTTCCTGATAGGACAAGGTTTTAGGACACACCTGATTTTTAGCCAGAATATGCCGAACCCTGTGCGTGGGGTAGAAAGTGATCCAGTTTAGTTTGGTAGCGCGGGAAGACGTTTTAGAATTGCATTTCTCGGGTTGCAACAACAACTCATTGTATGGATTTACTCAACTAGCCCTTTGAATTGACTCTACTGGCTAGTGATGTACATAACCAAAAGCGCTCGTCAACAACCGTCATTCAACTGAATTTATTCCGCCGGATTTGCTCATTTGTTTTCTTTTGTAACGATAGACCTGAGCATATTTTCTTGACAGAAGGTGCTATTTCATCCACGAAAATATACGTGCCTCGAAATCTGACGACAAACTGTTGTTCTAATAGAACACGATATCACTGGAAGCTCCGGGGATATTTGATGGGCCATGAAGAGAGTGTAACTGGTGAGTACAAATTTGTACGTTGTATGTCAAGTGGATGAGGCGAAATGGTTCATTGCTTCACGCATCTGTAATCGACGAGTACAGCCATCTCATGAAGCCAATCGGACCTAAGTGGATATACCTTTCTTTTTTAACAATGCAGCAACAACTATCCATTCATTCAAGAACTCATATCTCGGTTAGAATGTAAGAAAATACCCCACGCCTTGGTGCCATCTTACGCTAACAAGGCAATAATATTAAATTAAGATAAATTAAAACCAATCGCAGTGATTTCACATAATTGAACATAATCCTACTGTAGTTTACCAATTATTTTTCTCATTTACACATTGGCAAAGAAATATGTGCACATTATATTCGTTCCAAAATATTGCTACCACTGATATTTTGATACGAACTTATCAACAATCCAGGGTGCTTTTTAAAAAGCTGAACACCCTGAGAAAACTTTCAGCCAAGAGTAATGGCATTCTGTTAGATCTGGTAAGAGTAGCAGGGCATACTTACCCGAAAATCGAATACGTATTTAATAATCATACAACGGGTTGTTATCTCGCACATCCTTATGCATTGCCAAAGGTCGAAATCTGTAAAAAATCCCACTGGTCCGTCTATCCGTTGACTGGTTTTCACATCCAAACATCGATGTGTGTCGGATTCACAGTGAAGCCAGAAACCCGGGTAATTTGGCTGACATTCATCGCTAGCTGTCGAGTAGGCCACTATTCACAAGAGGAGTAGCACATCATACAAAACAGTGGACACCATAGTGCTGATGCCCGTTCGTCTGAAAACGTTTGAATAATATACATATTATTCACCTGAACCGGGGTTTCTTTGGTCTGATTGGTATACTTGCAGCCCACTTAGAATGGGGGATACGTTGCTTATAGAAAGCACCAATCACCGTATTCGTCACGAAAGAAATCAACCAGAGCAAGCTATTGAGCAACCTAATGTAATAACAAAAAATTGAGGCATCGACGTGTGTTTGTGTAGATAACATGATCGTCAAACCTCGACTACACACTAAAAGCGTATTCAAGCATTTTACAGACTAAATCTTTTTGGTTGACTAAACCTTAGAGTACACAGATAAAGTCGTCAAATCGGTTACGATTATTTTGGCATAAAAAGACATAGAATAGGAACATGAATGGAACAGAAGACATGAAATCCCCAGGAAATATTTCTACTCGCTGACGCTCAAAGCGACAATTGAGGCCAATGTTAGCGTAGTGTTAACCCTTCACCCTATTTGATGAAAAGATCTAATAAATACGCTCCTTCGTTCTGCTAGCTTTTTGTGCAGCAGTTCCTAAATGTACGGATCAACAGGATATAAAAAGGGATTATTTTGCGCTGCAGAACCGCCGGGCGGGGAATACCATCATTGTCATCTCGTTATTTATTCCAAGCAAACAAAGTGCATGTTACCGAAGATACACTAATTTGCAAGCTAATTTGGTTTTTCGAAAGACTCATCTGGAACCCGGCTGAACCTATCGTTTGTGATGTTTCCAGGCAACTGAATGTGCTGCATCAGGCCGCTTCATGTTTCAGTCGCTACGATATTCGAGATATCGCGATACATGTATATCTTTGTAATGTACTACGCATAAGGTGGCTGAAAATCCGTCGACGTTCCCCAAAAAGGGCGAAACCTGTCGTGTGCTGCCGACAAAATTTCAGCAACCTTATGAGTAATGCATCATAAATATACAATCATCGCGATATCTAGAATATCGTAGCGACTGAAACATGAAGCGGCCTGATGCAGCACATTCAGTTGCCTGGAAAAATCACAGAAGAGAGGTTCAGTTGGATTCCAGTTGAGTCTCTCAAAATACCAAATTAGTTTGCAAATGAGTGTATATTCGCTAAGTAGAACATAAGGTTGACGGAAACCGGGGACTGTGCCTACCTGAGGAGCTCCAAAACGGTCGAAGCCGATCGTGGGCTGTCGAGGGATTTTCAGCAACCTTATGAGTAGCACATTACAAATATATAAATTGCATGTTACTCGATGACTGAAAGCCTTTTGACCCGATCTTCGTAACAGTTGTCAAGTAATATATATTGTGAGCCTCAAGTTAAGCAAAACCCGTTGTTATTTGTTGAATAACTTTTAGCAACGTTGTACCGCGTAAAAATAGTAACATTTATTTCGTAGGTTGATATCTTTCGCCTAGTTTGCAAGTTTTTACAATCGAAATTTCTCACTGGTGCGTTGTGTGGTTTGGAGGAAGGTAACTGCAGAGTCCTATGCTTCACTGGAAGTGGCAAATGCCAAATCGGCAACTAATACATGACAACAAATATAATTCCTTTGGCCAACTTGAGGCAAACGGAGACAGACACAGTCGGTGTTCAGTTCAACTTAAAGAAATTACCAACTCTTTTGAACGAATAGACCTGTCAAGATCGAATAACTAACGTACGTGCCTGGCAACATCTCCAATATTTTATGAGACCGAAGATGCGATGCTTTACCCAGAATTTTACTTTGTATCAGTCTGTGCACACGTCTGTGTGTTCCCAACCTAACCTAAGTACGTTTAGGACGAGTACATTGTTTGATCCAACATTGAATGGACAACCGAAGCAAACATTTCCGAACGATTATTTGGTAGACCTGTCTGTCCGATCGAAAGCTCTCACATTCATCTGCACAAGATTCGATGGGCACAAAGTTGAAAGGAAACTGGTACAGTGCTTTCCGTGCCAGGGTTTGTAGCCGTACGATATCACACAAGCACAATCCGAGAGGTCTCATAATTCTAGCGAAATAGAAACGCATTATTCTCAGGAATTTTCGACCAAAACAAGCCGAAGAATACCTCAATAAAAGCAATTCCCGTGGTCTAATCTACTTCTTGTAAGATCAGTACTACTGACATTTGAAAACGCAGGACAATCGAAGCATTGTTTTATAATACTGCTGGTTGCCAGTTCTTCCAATATTTTATGAGACCAAAGATGCAATGCTTTACCCAGAATTTTACTTTTTATCAGTCTGTGCACACATCTGTGTTCCCAACCTAACCTAAATACGTTTAGGACGACTACATTGTCTGATCCAACATGGAATGGACAGTCGACGAAAACATTTCCGAACGATTGTTCGGTAGACCAGTCTGGCCCATCGAAAGCTCTCACATTTATCTGCACAAGATTCGATGGGCACGAAGCTGTAAGGAAACTGGTACAGTGCTTTCCGTGCCAGGGATTTTAGCCGTACGATATCACGCAAGCACAATCTGAGAGGTCTCATAATTCTAGCGGAATAGAAATACACTATTCTCAGGAATTTTCGGCAGAAATAGCCCGAAGAATGCCTTAATAAAAGCAATTCCTGTGGTCTGATCTACTTCTTCTAAGATCAGTACTACTGACATTTGAAAACGCAGGACACATCGAAGCATTGTTTTATAATATGCTGATTGCCAGTTTAACTGATGGTAACGGTAATTATTACACATTTTACAAAAATTCATCTAATTTTGTATCTCAAATTCAGTGTAAGTAATTTATTCTTGCCATGAAAAAAGGTTTCATAAGTTTGTTTAAAACTTTCCGACTGTTCATGACCGGTTTATTCCTTCCATGGTGCAGCCTGCGAGACTCACCTGTCTCACTTTTGTTCGAGATGAGGCCGGAATGCGGGAAATTTGAAATACAAACTCAGTTGCGGACCACTTTGTTTTTTTCGAACGACTCTAGTTTCATCCAGTTGAAGCTCTCATTTATGGTATTCTTTATTAGTAGAATCCAATTTTTAGTATTTATGTAGGACAGTGT